GGTCAAAATTGAGGAAGTTATGCATTGGCAAAGTTGACCTTTTTTGCAAAATTGCCAAAAGTCAAATATGTCTCAAATTGCAATGTTTGTCAAATGGGCCTAACTTTTTGTGCTTGTATTGAGTTGGTAACATGGTCCACGACCCATGAACCCTGCCACTTTTCATTCTTTTATTTTTATCATTTATCTTGATTTTATTTCATTTAAATCAAATAAAGTCAATAATAAATAATAAAAATATCAAAAATCATTTAAACCTTGAGATTTTGTGCATATTTCAGGTCCATGAATAGCTGGCAATGAGATCAAATCGTGCAAGGCTTGTTTGTACACAAAAAGATTGGATTTTGGCTTGATTTGGAAAGATTTACATGAGAATCAAATCATGATCAATGATCATTATTGGAGAAGATTTGAAGCAAATTTGTAAACCTAATTCACTCAAGAGTACATATAGGACATTGGCAGACCAAAAGCACAAGGTTGAGAGGCATGAGAAGCTGAGGGAAAACTTGCAAAAATCACCAAAAAGTGCTGAATCAAATTACAAGTTAGAGGACGATTTACACCATTCCAAGGCTAGCAATCAATTCCCAGCCATCTCCTGAAGCTAACATGATCATAGTCAAGTCTTGATTTTCCCATAATCCGTCTCCACAACTCTCACGGTTTGTCAATTTTTCCAAAATCGCATTCATTCATTCTTGCATCTTTATCATGTTTAAATGATATATTTGTAATCCTTATCATATTTGCAAGCTAACAGTACCGTTTAATTGCATTTTTGGAAGCCATGCGTGTGGATGCCATTGCTAGGGTTTCTGAGGTAGTTTTGGGGCTTTGCTATACAGGGAAAATTGGGCCACAATTGAGGTACCATGACACTCGTAAGGTTGAGACGAGTAGAATGGTACCATTATGATTGATTTATCATGCGTGTGTGCAATATTTGAATGAAATAGGGCTATAGCTACAGACTTTGTCCGTAGGTAAAAGTCTGGACTTTTGCCAACGGAGGGAGGAAGAAGAAAGGTGGCGTGGCAGGCAATGATTCGTCTATTCAAAATTCATGTGTTTTCATTATATTAATCTTGTTTTCCCAATATAATATTTGCTTGCTTTTCTTTGTACAACAAAGCATGCTAGCTCAGCTGGTCAAGAGGCGTTGGAAATTGCTAAAGAGACTGGGTTCGATCCCCAAGTCCCCTTGTTTCTTCAATATTATTTTGCTATATGTATTTCCATGCGCAGGCTTCCCATAAATCCACCATGGGTCATCAGCTTTCAATCATTGAATCTGTAGCCAACCAAATCCAACGCTTGGCACATGAAGGTTTACCATAAGCCTAGTCAAACTTGCAACATGGGATCTGAGAAGTCAAACGTGGACCAAAGCTTATTGGGCTCAGATATGCAATTAACACCCCCCTTCTACTTTGACACCAGGCCCATATTCTTTTTCTTTTATATTTTTCTTTTAATTATTTTGATTAATTGTTTTCTCACATAAATTTAATTCTTTTTTACAAAAAAATCATAAAATCAATTTTTCATCAAATTAGAATTTAGGTTTTTTTTAAAATTATTTTGTCAAAATTAATTTAGTATTAGTTTAATTTAATTTTAGGGTAATTTAAATCTTTTTGTAAATAAATTAAAATCAATTAGAAAATTAGGATTTGTTTGATTTAATTTTTATTTTCTTTTCTTAAAATAACAAAAATATAAAAATAGGTCAAATTAATTATTTTTCTTAATTTAAATTAACTAGTAACTAGCTTTGTATTTATTCATTAAAACCTTATCTTTCTCAAAAATAATCAAAAATATAATTTTTCTTTGAATTAGGTTTAGACGGGGTCAAAATCCTAATTTTTTCTCGTTCTCGTTTCACCACGCACGTTTATTTATTTTTACGATATTAATGTAACTGTTCATGGGATGTAATAGTTTAATTAGGATTTTCCTTTTATTTATCGTTTTACGAGTTTTTGGCTATGTAATTAATCCCCCTCCCCGAAGCCTTGTAATAGCGTAGTTTTATTTCTTGCATTTTAATTTTCGCAAATATTAACTGTTAGATGTATGATAATAGGATTGCATGACAAGAATGTATGTTAATTTTAAAATGGTTAGCAAACCCTAAATGTGCAAAGATAATAACTTGAAATCAAATCACTCGCACATGCGCACTCCTAGGGTATACTCTCACTTCGGTTGCCTTCAGTAAACGATCATTAAGTATATGTTATTTTAGTGGTCGCTCTCTTGTCTAAACAAAGATCAAATGTCCCGTTCGGAAATGTTGCCTAGGAAATATTGCCTCGGAAAGGTTGCCTCGGAAATGTTGCCTCGAATATGATCTTAAGATATTAGAGTTATTACTAAGACGTCCTAATGTTGCTTTAGTGATTGTACGTCCCTTTCGAATTGACCCTTACAAACTCCAATGACGGTGCTACCTATTTCTCAAATAGTATGATAGCGCTGTCTAAAGGAAACAAGAACAGAAATATTCTTTTTTCCGAGTAGGTAGATGCTAGTAGGTACTTGCTCAAAATCAAACTTTTTCACACTTACACTTTTTCAAACAAAGTTTTCAAAAAACACTTCGTAACACTCTTGAGGACTGATACAAGGGTTAAAACGAAGTAAAACAAAAAATTTCAAAACACACAAACACAGAAGCAAATTTTAAAATGATGAGCAAGTACCTAAGAGCCCGTGAAAAACCACGGATAGAAAGGGTGCTAATACCTTCCCTTTCTATAATATACCCCCTGTACTCAAAATCTCGAAAAAGGAATTTTTCTGTGCTTTTTTCCTTTCCAGTTGGATAAAATAAAAGTCGGTGGCGACTCTTGCTTACCGCGATATTTTGCAAACACAAACGCAAAACGCAAACCAGCATTTTCTCAAAACAGTCTGGTTCTGCCACCGTATCACATAAATGAATCAATAAAGAGCAAGGAGTTATAGTAATTACCCGATCATCTGAAATATGTCTTTTTATGGAAGAGAAGCAATATCATGCCATCATCAATGTCAGTGTAAGAAAGAATGAAGAGGAAAAACTTCTATATAGGTACTGAAGCAATACAAAAAGAAAATGGTTAAATATGTTTTTGGTCCCTATAAATATCTCAAATTTCATTTTTAGTCTTTATTAAAATAATGGAAAGTTTTAGTCCCTATAAAACTATTATGCACGTAGTTTTAGTCCATGTTGTTAAACCAATGTGTATTTTTGAATGATTATTTTGTAGACATGTTTAGAACGTTATAAAAAATTCCTTGGAAAAAAAGAAATTCAAAATTTGATTTTTAAGTCGAGATTTTTATTATTTTTATCAATATCTTTTGAAATTAAAAAAAAATCATATTTAATTCTTCTCATTTTAAAAAATTCTAAAAATTGATAAAGAAATATTTTATAGTATTCTAAACACGTATGGAAAATATTATTCAAAAATTTAAAAGTTTAAGGGTAATTAAACAGTTTTTAAAATTTTAGAAAATAACAAGGACTAAAACTGGATGAATAAAAAAATTTTAGGGACCAAAATTTATCATTTTTAATAAGGATTAAAAATGAAATTTGAGATATTTATAAGGATCAAAAACATATTTAACCCGAAAGAAAATAATATGGACAATATGAGACTTGAATGTGATTAGTCGAACAATATGCATGCACAATATCTTGATAGAAGACGGGCACAAACCAACGGCCCAACCTCGATGAAGACTCAATCCTACCATGAAATAAGTTGTAAAAAAGAAGTGGTAAAGTTGTTAGATGCATGTCTCATATATCCAATATCTGATAGAATTGATTATGTTTCTAAGTGGATAGATGCAGTAACAATTCAAACAAATAACGCTAAGATCGTGGTTAACTTCTTCGAGAAAAATATTTTCTCAAGATTGGGGTACTAAGAGCACTAGTAAGTGACGAAGGGACACATTTCTTGAACCAAAAATGGAGGCATTTCTTAAGAAATACAATGTGAAGTATATAATAGCCACACCTTATCATCCTTAAACAAGGGGTCAAGTTGAAATATCCAACAAGCAAATCAAACAAATCTTGGAGAAAACAATAAATGCCTCAAGAAAGGATTGATCTTTTAAACTTGATGATGCATTATGGACATATCACCAAGCTTTCAAGACTCTAATATGTATGTTTCCTTATCAATTGATTTAAGGAAAAACTTGTCACTTACCACTAGAATAAGAAAACAAAGCATTATGAGCCTAAAAATTTCTTTACTATGATCTTTCTAAAGTCGAAGAATCTCGACTTCTTCAACTCCATGAGTTGGAAGAGTTTAGAAATAACACTTATGAAAATGCAAAAGTCTTTAAGAAAAAAACAAAGAAATGACATGATAGAAAGATTAAGAAAAAGAAATTTTGAGAAGGGTAATTGGTTATTCTTTTCAATTCTAGGCTGAGATTATTCTCATGATGGGAGAGAAATATTCAAGATCAAATTGATCCACCATTGATGTCAAAATGTGAAGAAATTCAAATGAGATTTAAGAAAAAAATGTAGATAAAAGAATTATACATATACTAATACGATAATACAACGTGAAATATGTAGAATTATGCAAACTGTAATTGAATAACAATTTGAGCTTAAAATTCTTACTCATTGATCGTTGAAAAAAAACAAAAAGTTGAATAACATTAAAAAAAAATAAAAAAACAAGAAATTTGATAAAAAAAACAAAACAAGAAATTTGATAAAGAAAAACAAAACAAAACGTTGTAATTGGTTTGGGATGGTACTGTACCTTGTTAGAGTGGATTGCAATGTTAGTATATTTGTCCTTTTGGGGTCTCCTTCTATGAAACAAAACCTTCTCATTCTCATTCTCTCTGCTGAATCCCAAAAACCTTCTTCTCCCATTATATAGATACATATATTGAGAGACAAAGTGATTAACTTTGTGTGTTATTCTGGCATCATTCTCGGTAACCAATCAACCATGTCTCTTGGGTATGCTGAGAAACTTTCCTTCATAGAAGATGTAGGCAACGTTGGAATGACTGAACATTTTGACCCATCTACCATTTTGCGTGAAAAAGTGGGTCCCTTTTCCTCCATTCACTTTCTTCATGTTATTTATCATCTTATTGTTGCTTACCCTTTCTGCCCTTTTTGCCTGTCATGATGATCTCTCATATTATGTGAAAATTTTGATGCTTATGATTACCCTTTGTTGTTATGTGCTGCGTGATTGATTGCTAATGGTAGTGATCTTGTGCTGATTAAGGTGAAATTTGGGTGGATTCTAGTTGTTGTTTTGATAATCAGCATGCATGATTGTGGATGTGTGTGATATTGGATTGTGATCGTAGATAGTTTTGGTTGAATGATTGTTTTTGTTATACAAGGGTTTTGATTTTGGGAGAAATGCTTTGAGACTTTGAAATGTTTACCAGATATGTTCTAAGGTGTTTTAGGGATTGTGTTTCACCATAACATTGCAAAATTTTAGGGTTTTCTTTTGAAAATGAATTCGAGGTCAACCTCTATTGGAATCTGTAGCACCGACACCTCTGAAAAAATGTCTGTCCATTCCTGTGTTAGTGTCAGACACCGACACCAACATTTGTCATTTTTTCAAATTATTATCAGTGTCGACGTGTCGGTATCATGTCCGGTGGCTGTGTCCTTGTTTAATAACTATTGGGTTTTATTTAGGGCATATAACTATTCATCCAATGTACACACATCCCTCACACTTAGGACGGAACATCTTGATTGTGACTCAAGTGACCTGATAATAGATGCCCCAACAGATCTAGGATAGACTCGAGTACGATCTTAGGGTTTATGAGGTTTAACTAAACCCTACAAACCAGCTTGTTAGTGAGATATATCCACCATTTATCGCCACTACTCAGATCATATTGAATGTCCAATATGGAGCTCTCAACTAAAGTAGGATATCAGTTTTCATTTTACCTGCATTGCGCCCGGTGTTGTTTTGAAGGTTAATTTCCCTATTTAATTGGTTTTCTATGGTATTTGTCAAAGTTTGTTCTCATGCATATAGAGTGTTGTTGTCAGATTTCTGTCACGACGTTGTAGCACGGGGATTTTGTGCCATTTCACAAAAACTTTCACATCCTCCATAGACCGAAACACCATGTTTATATGGCAGTTTTTTAGATGACCGACATACTCCACCATTGATAACACTGAGTTTTTGTGTAGTACAATGTTAATGCAGATATGCGTGAATGTGTTTTTTATTCATGAATGATTCTGTAATTTTCTCAATATGGTTTTCTTCTCTGGGGCTGGATGGTTGTTAAATGAAATGTCAAGAACCCGTTGTCTGGGTTCTCTTAACCATTCTCTTGATCTACATTTACATCTAGTGTAGTCAAGATCGAGTGCTGGATCGTAAGATCTTATGTGCTAAGGATGCTTGAGAGTGCTGCGATCAGAGAAAGATCTTTTCATCGCCGGCGTGGTCAAGATCGAACTTTTTGAAGCAAGATTGTAAAAAAGACGTGTTGAGGCTTCTTTTTTGGGCCTGAATTATAATTTTCATGTTTTTGTGTATGTGTGAATATTCATGTATGCAATTACCATTTTCCCCTTCGGTAGGATCTTACTTGCCGTACTAACGATCCGAGTTTTATGATCTTTCACAAGCCGACGGATACTACTTAAAATCTCGTTCTTGACTACATTGTTTACATCTGTTATGTTAGTTCTCTTTCAATTGTTTCTCTTCTTTTGTATTGGAATGCAATGTACCAATTTATCCCCTAATGAGATGTTTCTTTCATTGCATTCCAATGATTGTATATATACAAATATGAAATGTAATCATTACCTTCACTTAAACGAAATGCATAGTTTATTTGCTGAGATTTTTTTTTTCTCTTGGCAGATAGAGCAACTTGCTATTATGATTAAAAAGGTACCGACTGCGGCTACTTATTGATGATTATATTCGGAACCTTTCTTATTTTTATTTTATGTAATCAGCCTCTTTAATTTGTATTTATTTACTTCTTGCAGAGTAAGCATCTAGTAGTGTTTACAGGTGCAGGAATATCAACATCTTGTGGTTTACCTGATTTTCGAGGTCCCAAGGGAATTTGGACGCTTCAGGTGATGGTTTTGAAGTTTGTGAATGCTTGTACATTAATGGAAATTTAACTTCTTTTTTTCTTCTGTTCACACCGTTGTGAACGTATGCTTAAACAATCTCTTATGTTTCTATCACATTTTTGCTGCTCTTTTCATCCTATTTTCTGTTCTGTATTATTATTACAGCGTGAAGGTAAAGCCTTGCCTGAAGCATCATTACCATTTCACCGTGCGGTGCCAAGCTTGACTCACATGGCTCTCGTTGAATTAGAAAAGGCTGGTATTTTGAAATTTGTTATCAGCCAGGTAGAATCATTGCGGTTTTATTTTATGTATCTACTTCTTTCCTTTAGACATATGAAAACTTTAGTTTTAGCTTCTTTTCACTTGTTCATTTGCAAATCGCGATCAAACTTCAATAGCAGTTTCATCCAATTTTAACAGAAATTATCATTCTTTGGAGCAGCATTCAACATTTAATTTTCTTCCTCATTCTTGTAACATTTTGTTTTCTTATGATAGAATGTTGATGGTCTCCATCTTCGATCTGGAATACCAAGGGAAAAACTGTCTGAACTGCACGGGAATTCCTTTATGGAAACTTGCCCTTCATGTGGAGCTGAGTACGATCTTATTGCTATTTCCATGCTAATTTCGCACGAGCTTTCTTTCCCATGCATATTCAACATATATGTTCCGCAAAGTTATGAATATTTACGGCGCAGATGCTAGCAAGTATCAGCAAAAAAAGGACAACTACTGTTCTCTAAAGCCCATTCCTGCCGTGTTCGTGTTTTTCAAAATCTTACCTCTTGAAAGAATTGTAATCTAATTGAATAATTTGAACCTCTTAAGGTACTTTCGAGATTTTGAGGTAGAAACTATTGGTTTAAAGGAGACTTCACGGCGCTGTTCAGATGCAAAATGTGGGGCAAGACTTAAGGATACAGTCCTTGACTGGGAGGTATAACATTGTTCACCATTAGAGGTCCCAGTTGTACAATAATATAATAATGTAGTAATATGAGAAATATGCCATTGTATGTACAGGATGCACTGCCTCCGAAGGAGATGAATCCGGCTGAGAAGCACTGCAAACAGGCAGATATAGTGTTATGCTTAGGGACAAGGTAATAATAACATGATTTATTTCTTATCACTGCAACAATTTTCTTTTTCATATCTTCTCGGTAATTGTGGCATGTTTGCTTGAGTTCAAAATGAAACCTACTACTTTGGGGGTAATGTTACATTTGAAGTTGAAGTTTTGCTTTGCTATATTTCTCTTTTGATATAGCATGGCTGAAATCTCTTAATGCAGTCTGCAAATAACTCCGGCCTGCAACTTGCCTCTTAAAGCACTTCGTGGCGGAGGTAAAGTTGTCATTGTAAATCTCCAGGTTTGTCTCCTAGCCACCTGCTGCGTGTTAATGAGGCGGTTGACCCCATCACACTACATTTTCCATATTTACAATAGAATATGTCAAAACTATAGGATATTTATGCTTTGCTACAACTATGATATTATCAAATTCAAACTTAAGTATGTAATTATACTTTCAATCTCAGAACTTCATCCCTGAACACACTGAATGCTTCTGATTTTGGAGTCTCGCAGTTTTTTTTCTTATTATACTTTTATGCTTGTGTTTATCCTACTCATCTAAACTATAAATGTTTTGAACTCTTCAGAAAACCCCAAAGGACAAAAATGCCTCTCTAGTCATTCATGGGTTTTCCGATAAGGTATTTTGATCTGGATCCTTCTTAAAGAAGATTCAAATATTTTCAGTTTGAATTAGACAAGTGTCGGTTGTGTTTTTCTCTCACGTCATGAGAATAAATACGAGGTTTCCTTTTTAATATGCGTTATTTTAAACTGGAACAGGTAATTGCAGGTGTCATGGAGCACCTAAATCTGCGGATTCCTCCTTTCATCAGGATCGACCTTTTCCAGATTATTGTAGTGCATGCTTTGAGCAACGGTAATCAAATTACACCTATACCTTAGTATGTACTTTATGTATGATGCATATAACATGTACACACAAACTCACCAATATTCACAACAATCCCACGCCACATACACAAGTTAACAATCAATGCCAAAATACCAAGACACGTGAGCGAGCGACTAGCTCACATAATTGATTCGATTTTCATCACAGATAAAAGATATGTGAACTGGACTCTCCAAGTTGCAAGTTCTCATGCCCAGAAAGCAGCATTGCCTTTCGTCAAGTCTGTCGAGGTGAATTCACATGTTGAATCTATTTCTGCTTGTTTTTATCATTTATTTTTATCCACATTTGATGTTGGCTGGATTGACTTTTTGGGACCTAGTAATTTCGTTCTTAATTTTCTAGTTGTAGACTTTTGGGAATCTTGGTGTTGCTTTCTTACCAACTTCATGTTGTCTTAATAAAAAAGTAAAAAGAAACTGACTAGCATATATGTCCTTGTCTGCAGGTTTCCTTCTCGGACAAGGAAGGTTTCAAAGAAGCCATTCTGGATAAGCAACCATTTCGGCTTAAAAGGTCCCACACTTTTGCAATGTGATTTTGTTTCTGCCTTTAATCAGTTTTTTTCTTTCTTTCTCAATCTATTAGTCTTTACATAGTTGATGAGACCATCCTAAATTCTTTATCTATTTTTGTTGCTTAAATTTTAATACTTATTTTGATGTATGATGTCTTAGAAGAACAGCATATAACAAAACATTTGAAATGGTTCTAAACCTCAATTTTGGTGATGGCTGTGGTTGCTCGTCCCTTGAAGTTGATGTCCCGATTGATTTTATGGTGAGACCTGTATAAATATCACCTATCTTCTTTGATCGGAAAAAAGTTTTTTGTTTATAAAATTTGTCGAGGACCAACTATTATAGAAAATGATTTAACTGAAAATATAATTTTTCAGAGTTCAACTGACTGCTTCAACTTCGACAAAGATATCATATTCCAAAAGCTGAGAGACAAGGCAGTCTTTGAGTCAAAATGTGGTCAGAATGCCGTAATCGAGAGAAAAGCCATCTTGACACCTAAAAGCCACATTACTACCTATGCAATCGTAACTAATGTTGTTCATTACAGCAAACCAGTCCCCGATTCTGTAACCAATGGTGATCTTAAAAAGAGAAAAGATCTCATGATTGGTACAGGATCGTCTTGGAAGCGTTCGAAAGTTTCTAAGGGTAAATCTATATCAAAGAAGGTGTGAATTAATAGATAGAAAGAGGTAGGTTCTGTAAGTATGATACCAAAGATTAGAAAACTGACAGGATTGACAAAATGTAGAGACTGAGTGAATTTTGTTAGATGTTACACTCAGTCTTTCTTTCTCTAAATGGTGGCCATGATGCTGAAAATTTTTATTGTATATTATAACTAATTACTGAATATATATATAGTGTGTAATCTTCACATGTCTCTTTATTATACCTTTTTCTTATGAAAACCATTTTCTTTAACAATGACAAGTTATTCTTTTCATCTTGAACTACTTTACAAACACCAATAATCTTTCTTTTCTGGTTTCTTCTACAGCCTAAAGCTTTTTCTTACTAAATTGTAAATTTTAGGAACATGAGCCTTTCTCTTTTCATGTATTTAGAGCATCTACTATTTAGGTATCATAAGTGGTGTTTTAATCTCCTTTGTTAATAAACTTTGGAACATACATAATTTTATCTTTAGTCTCTCTTATCTTTTGGGGGCCCTTTAGTCAGTTTATTTTAAATGTTTGTGTGTACAGTAACTGTCATGTAACTGCTTTGTAACTGTTCTAGGAAGTCATAATTATAAATATAGGGTGAAAGGGAAGAGGAAGGACATTAGGTATTTTGTATGTTGGTTGGTTTGGGAGAGATTAGGCTCTCTAATTTCTAGAGGTTGGTTTATCTGTCAATTGTTGATTATAAACAGTTTATACTTTAGTATCGGTTTCTATCACAATCTTAAAGGATTTCTTGTTCTTCACACTTTTAAATTTGCATGTGTCAAATATTGGGCAAGATGTGTTATCATGTCTTCTCTTTAAGCAACATGAACAAACCACAAACTTTGGTGCTTATGGAGTATCAACCTTTAATAACATGTTCATCATATGCACAATCAATTCTCTTTCTTTTGTTCATCTTTATTTTCACTATTATTTTAGTTAAAATCTTTTGAAAAATCTTTTCACATTCTTTAAAGTTATAATTGTTTGTGAATTTTTTTTACTTGAGAAAAACACAAAAAAAATAAAATAATTAACAAAGATTTTAGAGAGAACACGTCATATATTTATACATGCCTGACCTTACAACTTGACGTATTTATGTTCTCAAGAGGACCAATCCACACCTTAAACAATTAAAAAGAGCCATTAACACACGTTGAGCTAAAAAAACTTCACAAAAGTTTTTTTTCATGTTTATCTTGCAATCCTTAAATCTTATACAAATTATAATTTTTAAGAGAATCTGACTCTTAAATAAAGCTAATAAGATACAACATTAATTACAAATCATTCAAAAGAATTTTTTGGTCTTCAAAGCTATGACAATCTATATATACTTGTAAAAGTAAACTAAAATTTGCTTATGTTTCATCCTCGCAAAGGTTCTATTTAATTCTCAGTTAATTGTTTGATGGTAATTTTATGAAGTATGTGAGTGGATATTCTTACTGATCGTACCTGATCAAAATGAATTATCAAAGTCCACGAGTTTCGAGTTGGACGACAGTTGTAAATGGGATGGGAGGGTACCTGCAAGATACTCTGATGTCAAAGTAAGGTTCAGAATGATGCAAGCAAGTATAAGTGAGTGAGATAGAATGATTCAATACTTGACCCTCTCAAGTGAGAGGGTATTTATAGCCCCCAGCGTTGGGTCAATGTCTCAAATGTTGGGCCACGATGAGGCCCAACAATGAAGACTACCAGGGCTTACGTGTGTATGGAGTCCAGCACGTGGCCTTCCCCTTGGTCAATTGCTCCGAGAAAGCAGGAGTTGAACCATTCTCGGAGGGCAACATGCTGATGATGATATGTACACGTGGGCCACGTTCCTCAACGGACACGTGGGGAGTTGCCCAACGATCCCTAACTTGGGTTGTTTGTATTTGGGCCTTATGCAAGGGTGTTGGATTGGGCCTCCCCAACGGTTGGGGCAAGCGCTGGCCTAATTCAGATCAGGAGCCCCCAAGTTATTGCCCTTAGGTGAAATGGTGATGACTTAAGTTTAACTTTACGGTCGGGGAGCATTTTTTCGGGAAGGGAGATCGTAACCCTCTAACGGGGATAAGTTGTTTGCCCTTGTCGGGGATAACTTGTTCAGCCATGTCAGGGATCTCGTGAACACGCGAGTTGTGAGGCCAACTTGGTCATTTGTTTGTTTGACGCCCATCAAGAATATATAGGCTGAGGGGATCTTCCCCGTACTCCTTTTCGATGTGTCCGTCCTCAAGGTGTCGCTACGATGTCGAGCGTTATTTCGTCCTCGTGAGGGGCACATGATGAATCTGCCCGTATGCACGTTTTAGCCATGGTGTTGAGCATTTCATCGCGTGAGACGTCATGGTCATGCTCGAGTACGATATTTCATGTGGAATTCGGGGACATGTTCGTCTTTTGAGAATGGGCACATGGCTGCTTGTTGCGCCAAGTGGATGTTATTTTAGGGAGCCATCTTTCCATGGGGAGTCCAAAAGGCCCAAACTAATGATGACTTTTCATGTGCAGCCTCGTGGAGTGTGAGTCACTTATAAAAAGGGGACCTCAGGGTTTCATTTATTATTCTCAAGTTTTATTTTGCAATCTTCCTTGTTCCCGCGTGGATCCTCTCCTCTCAACTTCTCCTTAGAGTTATTCAAGACATTCTTATCCAAGTAAGTCATATCCTCTTAATCAACATGTTTTCTTCAGAATTTTTAGATTAAACGCTCAGTTTTCGTCTTGATTGGAAGAATCTTGGATGAACATTCATGGGTTCTGCGATGAACACCCATGAATGTTCATTGAAGTTCATGATAGTGGATGACTTCATTATGTCGGGGTCATTTTCCCCGATAACGAGGGTTAATTTAGGCACCTTCTTCATTTGACTAGATTTCCCCCAATAGAAGCGTGGCTTATTTTAGTGTGCAGTTGGGGGCTTGGTTCGAAGTCCATTCCTCGGTGGATTCATCGCCCTTTCATTTGATTTACGGTGGAAGGGTGAATTTGATAATGTCGAGTTCACTATTTCCCCTTGCTTTTTAGGTATAATGGCACATCCAGTCGGGGAGGACGTTTTGTCCGTCAACCATGAAGATGAAATCAATTCCGAGGAGGACCCTTTGGTCTGGGTTGCACCTGAGACTAGAAATAAGAGGTCTTTCTTTTCGCACAATGCATCAGACGCGTTCAACTGTCCGGAGATTCGAACTGAGGGCCCCCCTCCAACTGGATTCTACAAATTCCTCATCGTAATAGGAGGATATGCTCGACGTATACGGGCAAGTGCTTCCCCATGTACGAATTTGCATTCAAATAGGCGGGGATGCGTTTGCCCTTCAATGAGTTCCAAGTGGGGGTTTTCCAGTGGCTATAATTGGTACCCTCCCAACTTCACTCGAACGCGCTTGCGTTCATGCGGGTGTTCGAGCTCGTCTGCCAATATCTACAAATAGGCGCTACGTTGCCCCTCTTTTTCCGTATCTTCCACTTACAAAGGTAGTCCATTGGAGGGGGGAAAGCATGGGTGTCTTTCAAGCAGTTTGGGAAACTCTTTCGGCCTTATTTGGAGTCTGTTCGTCATTTCAAGGAGAGGTACTTTGTCGTGAAACCTCTGACGGACGTTGTAACGCCCAATAATTTAATTAATCATTTAATTAAATTATTTTCGAGTTATTTATTGAAATGTGTGATATGTTTCTATATGTTTATAAGTTGTTATTTGGTTGATTATTTTAGTTGATTAATATTAGCAATAATATTAGAATAATATAAGATTAAGTTGTTGGGCTTAGTTATATGGTGGTACGTAGTAAGATGGGGGTGTGTAAGTTAGGCCTAATATGATTAATGAAATAAGGTTAAGTTGATATAAGAATTAGGTTAATTAGAAAAATAAGGAAGTCTTGGTGTGTTGATCGTAGAAGTTGCAGAGAAGAGGGAAAATCGAAAAAGTTAGGTTTTTAATCGGAGAGTTATAGAGCGACCTTCAATCTAAGGTAAGAGTGGAGTTCTGAATCTATAATGGGACTTATGCTGAATATTATGTAGGGATTGTCTGCGTGTATAATTATTGTGCGTATGATTTTTTCGGGATCTGTTTCTGAAATTGCCTGTTTTTTATGTTATGGTTGTTTATGATTTTTTTGTATAACTGTCCTGTACAAATTGATGAATCTGTTAGTGGGGATTATCACATGTTGATATAGTTTTCATGTTTCTATGTTATTCCATGTTGTTGGTCTAAAATTAGTGATCAAGGATAATACTGAAAGGCTAGGTTAACGTTCGTCACAGACTAGATGAAGTATGTGCAAAAGTGTTGAAGACACGCTGTGCTGAGGGGCACAGGTGCTTGTGCCGAGCGGCACAAGGTTACAAGGTGCACCGAGGGGCATGGTGTGTGCTGATTGGCACAGAGGCAAAAAGGGGGAGTGACGAGCGGTAGGGTTGTTGTGCCGAGGGGCACATGTATTTCTTATTCTTTTTTTCTTTGCTCTTGTGCATCCTAATTGGTGAATTATTTGTTTAACTGTCTTGGCATAATAATTAAAATTCTTAAGGTAATTTACCCCCTGAATGATTAATGGATTACTAGTAAATATAAGTTAGTAGCAGGAGAGATAATAGAATTAATGATTAGCAGAAAACTATTAATAAGATTATCAGTAGAAGTAATTTAGTAGAACTTTCAGTAGCAGTATTAGTAATAGATTAACAAGAGAATAAATTAGTAGCTAGTAACAAATATGAAATAATTAATAACTGACAAGCAGTAAATCGTATGGAATTTGAAATAGTAGTACATAACCAAAAACATTAGTATTTTAGCAGAAAACTGTTTAGTCGGATATAGTCAAATTGCCCGAATAATTACGCAGGACGTCGTAGTATATTTTTGTTAATAGGTGTATTGTATACTTTGTTATAATTTGAGAATTGGCAGGTGATGATGAATTTTGTTGAGATGCCTCTAATTATTGGCAGATATTAAGTTGTAGGCTTATGGCCAATTTTGA